CCACACTTAATACAGCCAATCTTTGTGAGTACTTCCATGATGGAGTGCACAAAAAATTGAGAAGCTGTTCACAACCCAGAAAAAAATGATGGGTGGTGGAAATGTCTTTGAAAGCAAAACAAGTATTAAATCTGAGGAAAGGTGTTTTGCTTTCTGTCATTCTGTTTCACTGTTTGATTGATGTCTAACCAGTACTGTGTTATTTCCTGTCAGCATAAAATGGTAAAGCTGATGTGTTTTTACACCTAATTGCTGAATAGTTGTGATAGTGGTTCAGTCTCTACTGCTGCATCCTCTGCCTGTTCTCCTCCACTGTGTCAGCCACTCCCTCCCATGGCAGTTGATTGTTACTGCAAAAGTGGAATATGAACTGAGTTTAAAGCAGTATTGTTTTAAATGGGGTGAAAATTACCTGGAAGTTTTTGAAACAATCACAAAAGGAATCTCTTTTTAAAAGTTTAAATTCTATAATTGAAGTTGAATGTGAGGAAACCTGCTCACTTAGTCCTGCCATGTTGGCTTTTCATGTATTCAATCCAAATATACTAGCATGAATTCAGTGAAAACTAACCTTGATGTAATAAGAGACCATTCAGATAAACCCCTATAGTTTTTTGAACAACTGCTTCCTCACACTGACACTGCTGCGTCTTGTTTTTCTTCTCCAGTCTGCGATGGACATCCCTGGCCTGAACCTGAGCCAGCAGGAGTATTATCCTTACGTCTACTACAAGATCGACTGCAACCTGTTAGATTTCAAAGTTTAACACTTTGACCTGTTTTCGTCCTTACGCTGAGTGTTGATTAAGTTATGTTTTTTTCCTGGGTCAAACCTCCCCCTCCTCCCACACTGTCTGTCTCTTCACTGCCTCCCCTCCCCATCAACTGCTTTAATGACAGTGCTGCATGTTCATTCCTTGTGGTACAAAGGCTCATCAACAAGCTTCTACCACTTTTGCAACCAAGGGACAAAAAGAGAAAGACTTTTAAATATTGTTTTTTGTTCATTTACATTTTTCTTCACACAGAAAATGAGCTTTTGTTGATGTGAAATGAAAAAAAAAATCCAAATGCAAAGCTGTATATTTACTGTGTCATTCCACATGTGCTGGTGTGTATTGATAGCTACATCTTCTGTATTGCTGTTCAGAGATTTGTGTTTACATATGGGCGGTTTCATCATGTACCCATGGCAACCACGTCTGGTATGTGTTTCTGAGATTGTGTGCGCCCACAGCAGACATTGTGAAATAAAGATGTTATTCGAGTGTATGTTGTCGTCTCATGTTGTGTGTGTATATTTGCTGTCTAAAAGAGATCTATATATGAGTATTGTCTAAGCCACTGATTGAATATATATGATTGCTGAAATCATGTGAAATGAGTGTGACTTGATTAATAAATATGAAGAAAACCAAAGCGTCTGCTGTGGGTTTTTTTTCTTCTTCTTTGATTTGTTGCTTGATCAGAAACCTTAAAAGACTGTGAATGTAACATGACGCGGACGTCATATGGTGATGTGCATGTGAGAGAAATGAATGAGGCTCATAAGTGGCGTCCGCTTATGTGTAGTGAACACAGAAGGATCCTCTGTGAAGCCTTGGGATGACTCATGATCATCTGCAAAGCTGTAGGTAATTTCAAGGAAGCTCTGTCTTTGAGCAGACATTATTTGGAATGTGTGTAGCTGCAAGGAAAATACTTGCATGTCAACATGGAGGACAGCAGGAGACACCGACAGCAGAGGGCACCAAACGGATATTTGTGGCCATACGTGTGCTGGATGTTACTGTTGCACACTTTAGTCTCACAAAATGTACTTCTGCAGATCCAAAAAGAAGTTCTTACACTTGTATCATGAAGTGTAAATTTATACTCATGAAGTAGTGGAAGAATTACAAGTGAAATTTACATTTTCATTTAAGTATTTACCCTTTTATGCTACTTCCACTGTGTTTCAGAGAGAAATATTGTACTTTGTTCCTCTTAAATCTTTAAGATTTTACATAATGGATAATATACATGCTTTTAAAATACAACATATTGATAAAGATTCAACCAATGATTTCCATCCTTTTTGTCTTCAGATATCTTACAAAAAGATGTGTGTATTCCATATCACATTTTAGATGTTTAATTGTTGTTCACAGTGACAATAAATAGTGATCCCCCCCTTACAGTTTCATGTTATGAAATGCTAATTAATAAAAGTATAAGTAGCTTTCTATAAAAAATAATACATTACCAAACCTTGCAACTGTTTCATACACTTTTACATAGTTTTACCTCCATTCTTTTATTTTATTTTACAAAATGTTTATATGCTTTGTGTGTGAAATATGAATCTAAATAGTAACCATCACTCAACATCAAAGTTTGCTGGAAAAAAGCAAAATATTTCTGACTGAAATGGGGGTGGGAATATAGTAAATGTCAAGCAGAACAAAGTGGAAAAACACTACTAAAGGACAAATACACTATCTCACAGCTGCACTCAGTAAATGCACTTGATTATTTTCCCCCACAGTATAGATTTCTATGTATATTGTAAATTTCAGGAAAAAGTCATTTGAAAAACCTGTTCCGTGTTCTAATTGGAGCCATCAAAGAAGAGAACAATCTACAGTTAAAAACTACATTAAGCATCCCCATACTTAGGTTTGATTTATAGTGAATTGTGATATGTACAACACATTTCTTCTTTCTGGAAATGACATAAGTAACAAAATTTGTTGAGACATTGCACTAGAGATGTTAATGACAATTTAACTTTCATTTTTTAAAAAACGTTTTGCTGATAATGCAGTGTCTGAAATTCTTTTTACTGACTGAAATTATTTCAAATTTTTGAAAAAAAAAACAACTCCCTCTACCAACAACACTCTACCAAATTATACTTTTTTATTTCCACCATGTTCCAGAACATTTTGATTTGCTATAAATCAAGAACAGTTGATTCTGTTGTTCTGTACTCAGTTATTAGTCATGGCAGAACAAAAAGAGATTAGAGAGAGAGAGTTGCTCATTGTGACTGCTCACAAGATGGCAGACAGCTATACAGCTGTATCCAAGTGTTTTGAAGTGCAAGTGGCCACGGTGCAAAGCTGAATCAAAAGGTACAAGGAGTTCCACACAAAAAAAAATCTAAGCAAAAAGTGACCCCTGCACTGGCAAAAACGCTAGTGTGAGAAGCCAAGAAGAACACCGACCAAGAAGGACTCTACTTCTCCAGAAAAGGCAAATACAAACTTGCCTAGCCTTTGCAAAACATGACAGGGACAAAAAAAGACATTTTTAGGTCGTGACTGCTGTGGTTGGAGGAGACACAAGTGGAGTTATATGGAAACAGGGACATGGCAAAAGAGAGGACCAGCATTGAATTCCAAGAACATCATGCAATGCTTTTGTAGTGTTTTTCAGCAAATAGACCTGACCACCTTGTCAAAGGAAATGACATTATGAAAAAAGAGGAGTGTCTTAAGATTCTGGAAACATCTGAAAACACCAGGCAGTCTGCAGAAATCTTGGCCCTTGACAATACTGGGCCTTTCAATAGGATAATGATCTGAAATGTACAGCCAAAGTGGTGAAGAAATTGTTAAAGGAAAACAACAGCAACATTTTGGAGCAGCCCAGCCAGAGTCCCGAATCCCTCGAAGGATCTGTGGAGGGAACCGAAAACCAGAGTGATGGCAAAGAACCCTTCCAACCTAGGAAACCTGGAGACATACAACAAGCTTGTTTGTAATTACAAGGACCATTTCACTGCTGTGGTGACAAATAAATGCTTTGCCAATGATACTGAGACTCATTTTGAACATGGCATTTTTAGTAGATTTCTTGCAGATGCGAGGACATCTGTTGACCACCTTTGTTCATTTTTTTTGGAAACCAGGAGTAATGTAAAGCAACAACAAAATCATGTAGATATGATACCAAGTTAACAACTTGCTGTGTATTTTAAAACCTCACAAATGACAGTTGAATAAAAGAGAAAATACACTGTGAACATTTGTGCCACCTGCAGTCCTACGTACTATAAATGAATTGACTCATCATGTCATATTGTCTATTTTTATCAGCTAATTATACTTCCCTCTATGAACCTCTTTGCTCATCTTAATCCCTAAATGTCACTCTCATTTCAGTCACAAGAATGCAAACATTTAGTAAAATAACACACGATTCACGTGGATAAAGAAGGAGACTGGTGGCAGATAGAAGCCTAACGTAGCAATAAGTCAGAATTAATCATTATACATGGAAATATAAGACTGTGCTCTCTTGTACATCTGTATGACTGTGTAGTTAGTTACAGTGGAGTGGGACAAATTAAAACATATACAATGATAAAGACAAATACATGATTAAGCAATAATAAAAATGCACATATGGCTGGATTGACCAGGGAAAAACCTTGTTCTTAGGCCCCTATTGACTCCCTCTTCTGCATTGAGCATGTTCCCTTCAAGCTTCCATCAGGTATATGACTCTCCAGATGGTGACTCTGGGATCATGAGGAAGACGTGGCTATGAGATTTGTTGAGAATGCATCATCCATATGATCTTTAGTTGTAGATCTTCTACTTTGTAGTGAATTCAAGGCTATCAGGGCCCATTTGGGGGACCGGGCTACTGAAGAACAGGAGAAATAGTCAGGAGAGAAGTGCAGGTGCATTCAGTGTGTGTGTGTGTGTGTGTGTGTGTGTGTGTGTGTGTGTGGTGGGGGTGGGGGGGATCATGTGATGGAGGAGGGAGCTCGCCTTGCTGTGTCGGGATGTGAGACAAACACACACACTCACACACACACACATCGTTCAGGCTACATTCACATCAACACACAGCGTCTTGTGACTGCTGGTACCAGAACCTGGACGCAGCAACTTCCCTCGTTACCGCTGCCGCCGCCAGACGGAGCATCAATGCCTCCAGATTGCCTCTCGCACATCGGCCTGGACCTGTTCTCGTCGTCGGGCCTCCTGCGCTGAGAGAATGAAAGGATGGCGGAGCGGCGATGCGGCGGGGACCACGGAGGACTGACGGATGCTGCTGCAGCGACTCGCCGGGATGAGCAGCAGCGTCGCAACACGATGAATTCTCCGGAGGAAGCCGGAGCGGAGGACCTGTCTTTGGAGGAGATACTGAGGCTTTATAACCAGCCCATCAACGAGGAGCAGGCATGGGCGGTGTGTTACCAGTGCTGCAGGACGCTGGCCAGGAGGCAGCGGGGCAGGAGGAGCTCCACCGCCGCCGCAGCCGCCGCCGGAGCATCGTCAGCGGAGCCTCCGAGGAAGATATCAGGATCTGGGGATGTTAGGATACAGAAAGACGGGTCTGTCAGGGTGGAACACCAAGACTGTGAAGGTAAAACATTATGTAAGAGTGAGTGTGCCTGAAGCCACTCAGATCTGGGCCAGGCCATCACTTGCATTTCAAATAAGGTTGTTGTGATTGTTCTGAGTGTAAAAGCTTGATCTGAAATAAAGCCAAGGAAAGCAAGACATCCTGCAAAATCACAGGAACATTAAGAATAACAGTGACACAGTGCAATATGTCACTGTAAACACAATGCATATTTTTAGCTCACATGTCAAGGCTTTCTAGATCTTTTTCCTGATTAGGTGCTTAATTTGCATCCAAGGATTAGTCTCCTCTGTAATCTGCAGCCGGATAACAACAGCCATTAAGGCTCCATTACACATGACCTGATCACTGACACACAAAGGAATGCCATCACAGACCCCCGCTGGGTTCAGCCACTAGTGTTTTCACTGATTTCCACTATTTCCTCACCACCAGAGGCACGTGTTTGTGCACCTCATGTGGCTTCATCTTCTATTAGGAGCCTCTCAGCCTGTTTTTGCCCCTTCAGCGCAGATCAGGGTGTTCATTCCACTTCGCCTGATTAAAACATGTGATTATACGCGAAAATGTGGGCACTGATGAGATCAAGGCGTGGACTGATGCCCGTGGTGAATAGAGGAGGATGGGCACAGCGAAGCCTCAACCCTGCCTTGTGTTTTGCCTTGTTCAGCTGTTGCTACCTGTGACATGGGAGCCCCCATTTAATAGGTATAATTAATGAAGTGCTATAAAAAATGAAGAGTTAGAGCCCTGTTAGTATCACAGTGCTTTATAATGCCAAGCTATTTTCAGCATCTATCCCTGAAAGCTAGAGGAGAGTGTGTGGCAGCAATGTGTGCCAAATGAAAAACCACTGCAATACTCTCAAGATGCCCCTTTAGGCATTCACACTGTGTCTGTGGTGCTTTAATATTGACTTTATTCTACATTATGTTTATTTGCATCTCTTGTGGGCCAGAGTTACAGTGATTCAGAGTATTTTTCTTGTCGAGTTGATTTTTAAAAAATAAGAAACAAACCATGATTCAAATCAAAACACAGCAGATTCCATTCCATTCCATGTGATATGTGTGCGTGGCCTCCTTCGATGGGTGTGTCTATGAATGTCAACATGTTCTTAAAGCCAAACACTTTATGGGTCTTGTCAGACAAAGGCTTGGCATGTTCATCGCCTGCTGTAATTACATTTGCTCACAGAGTGCAGAGCAGACTGACTAAATGCCTATCTATCTGTCTTTCTCTGCCTGTAATGGACTACCTGAGGGCCTGGGGGATGCACTCTTAACTCAGCTACAATTTACACACACAGTGTGCAACACTGCTGAGTCAATGCACTGGCTTTGATTCAATAAATGCCCAGCAGGCTTTGTCCAATCACCTTGTATGAGCAAATCTAAAAGGCACAGCTGGGATGATGGTTGTGGTCTGTATGGCTATATGGTTAGAATGAATGGGCTATTTTTAGGAGCATGGAAGCAACCATTGGAGAGGGGAGTCTGGGCTTTTATTCCTCTGCTGCTACTGTAGTGTCACATCATGCAAGATGTTTAAAGAATCTCTTGAACTGCACTGCTTTTTCTTCTTCTTCTTCTTCTTTTTGCATGATGGTATGTGTGATGCTTGTTTTTGTTTGACATGTACTGCTTCAGTAATCAATGATGCCACTGTTTCACTATTCCATAATCATACTGTCAGTGTCTGACCTTTGGTGATGCAGTTAACAACAGTTACATGTAGAGAAATGGATTATTCAGAGGTTAGCTGTTTCTCAGTAGCGTTTCTCAAAGCATTTAATATTCTGTGCATTTCGTAGTTTCCAGTATTTTTAAAAAAAATCTGACATGTCTCCACATCTCAATCAGATGAGCTCAAGTATTCCTCGTTGACCTCACCTGTCATTTCTGAAGATTTACATTTGAACAGACTTCAAACAGAATTTTATCAAACACCTAATTATATAAAAGTAATTAGTCTATATAAGTAGTTTTGTGCTTCAGTTTTGTGTTTTAGTTATTTATCAATTACATTTAATTACTGTCAGTGTTGTATTTTAGCCACTTTTTCCCCATTATTAGCTTGTTTTTAACTGTTGGTCCATTACATTCAGCTAAAATGACCTGTTTTAAACATTTTTATTCACAGTTTTACTTGTTTTGTTTTTTTTCAGACATGTATCCATTACATTAATTTTAGCTATATAATTTTAGCCATTACTTTTAAGTGAAAAAAAAAATACTAGCCTTCATTTAGCTTTTTGTCTTTTACTTTAAGATATTTAGTTTTAATTTGTTAATCCATTACATTTAGCTTCATTAAGCTTGCATACATATTGTAACCATTTTATCAATGATTTTTCAAATCTTTTCCATCTCTGTTTTCAATACATTACACATTTAGCAATTTTTAGCTACATGTTTTCGCCATTTTCATCCATTACGTGGAGTTTATCCGTTATAATTAGCCATTTTTTGCAACATATTTAAACATTTTTATCCATGTTTGTTTTTTTTAAACTGGTTATCCACATTATTTACAATTGGCTACATATTTTAGCTATTTTAGCCAGTTAGCTTACATTTACCTCCTTTAAGCTTAGTATCTTTACCATTTCATCCATTAGTTTGACTCTTTTCTTTTGTTACATTTAGCTGCTTTTAATGACATGTTTTAATATTTTTCTTCATTAGTTTTAGTTGTTTTCAGTCGGTAATCAATTACATTTAGCTACTTTTAGCTACATAATGTAGCCGTTTTTATCCATTAGGTGGAGTTTTCTTTTTATCTGTTATGTTTAGCTACTTTTAGTGGTTAATTGAAACTTTTTTAAATACACTTCGTTTAGCCTTTTCAATTGTTTGTCTATTGCGTTTAGCTCATTGTAGTGACCGTTGACCTTTATCACTATTACTCAATACCTTTAGCTAATTATTTTTAAAAGTTTGTATCTATTTATTGCAGCTAGCCAATCTATTTAAACAGTGTTTAATTACACTAAATTGCACATATATATATTACTTTTAGCTCACTATTTTAACAGTAACATTAGTTTTTACATTTTCTTTAATAGAAAATCCCACACTCATGATCACAAACGCTCTTTTCTTCAAATTACTTGAGCTGCGACACAGTTTTTCCACACATCAGCTGATAACTGTAAAACTAGCTACTCCTCTGCTGGGAATCGCATCACATCTTGGCTTTGGGCAGTTCTAAGTAATTGTGGGAGCATTTTCTGAGTATATTGATCAGTGAAACCACACAGTTAGTTTCGGTTTTCAGGGTAGTTGGTTGGTTCTAATTGCCACTTATCTGTGCTGCTCACTCTCACACAGACTCTGTTTTCTGGATGCAGAAGCTTAGCAAAGCAGTCAGAGCCATTCATGTAAATAATGAGATAAATCTGTGGCAATCGTTTTATGGGGTTCGGACTTTTGAGGCTCTCATCTGCTAAATTGGCTTCAAGTTAAACCCAGACGAAATTAGTTTTTGACCCTGTTGTCAGTCAAATCCACCGAGTACTCCTTTATTCAGCAGTTTATCTGGGGCACCTGACACTTTGCGTTTTGTCTGACCCCATCATGAAAGCAGGGACCTTCAGTAAATGTTGTGATAAATTTCATGCTGGCTCCCTTTTTGAGGGTCATAAAAAAGGGACATTTGATTATCTGCTCAGCATATTGGCAGTACACACACAACACACACATTGTACATCTTACCCTTACAGACAGCATTCGACTCTGCTGATGCAAGTTGAGGTCATGAGATGATGACGGAGCGGTTGTGATGTTGCATTACTGCGTGTTACGATACAAAACAGACATTTGTTAAGAGGGTCATCTGTTATCATGCTGTTTGTTCACGAAGTAAAGGCTGAGCTGATGTAGCCCGAGGAAACATTAAAGTGGATCTTCAGTCCAAGGGAGTACATTCATGAGACACGGCTGCTCGGAAAGAGTTTTGTGGTCACTGGTCACATGCTACTACAAACGATGAAGTTATTGGAAGCAAAACAGAACTTTTAAAAGTAATATTCTACATTTTTTGTACTGTCAGTTAACTTTTTTTTTCAGAAACTGTACAACACATACTCTGTGGGTTATTTTGAGTTCACCTCATATACATTATTCTGTAAATACTCAAATGTGGGTTAAGCAGCAGCTAGAAATAGTCACCAACAAATCCACTATTTCTTCCTGTTCCTGCCCTTCCTGGTTTTCAGTAACCAAGACCAAGAGTGTCAAGTTTTTTTGGGGATATTACATAGCCTTTTAAACTATGTGTTTATGAGTAATTTGCAAAGATTTGTGTTTTCTGTTTGTCCGTTTTTGGTATTTTCATGGAGCTTGTTGTTTGTAGGACTTGTGTTGTTTTTTAAAGCCTCCCTATGAAGTTGACATGTTTTTGGACATGTTTTGCTCCTGTTTTGTTTATTTTGGATAAAAATAATTGTAAAAAAAAATTTAAAAAAAGTGCTGGGCTGCAGATTGTTGAATCCTGGTTTATCTTACTGATGTCTTCACTCCCCCTTCACTGTTTGTATTCATAATTTCCTGCATGCTGAGTTTTATTATTCATGAAAATAAACACAGCACATCTCAGTTTGCAGTGGGTTCTGACATAATGCATGTTAATAATGCAATAATGCAGTTGTTGTCACACATGCTTAAGGCTCTTTTACTCGTATATACAGTATTTATGCAAAGTAATTGAACAAGGTTGTGTAAGTTGCCGTGCATTTGTGTATATAAGCTTCTTGTTTAACCTTGTTTACTGCTTATTTTAACGCTGGCTTCTTGTTTCGTTGCAGGTAAATTCAGCCCTTGCACAACAATAGAGGTGAGTAACCCCACTATAATCCTGTAGTGCTAATTCTATTTCATTATTACACATTTACAGAGGTTTGAAAAATATTCCGTGAATGTATTTACTTTTATATCGTATCAAACGCGCTTACCGGCTGTTTGTGAGAAAGGAAATACATGTTGCTGAATGGGAACAAGAAAAGTACAATGTTTGGGCCACACAAAAGGCTTACTTTGGGTGTAATTAGTTTTGGAATATTGTTTGCAGTGCTCTTACTGATTACCTCAAAGACTTCAGCAAATTCAGTTTTCTGGAAAGGAACCAATAAGTCAATTACCAAAATATTCATGAGGGGAAATATGTGGCTGTACAGAGATATAATTGATGGCTTTATCACAATAACAGCTTGATTTCCTTTTCAATTATTTACCCTCCATGGGTGGTTTCCTTACATTAGCTAGCTACAGTCACAACAACAGAGACTGAATTTAGAAAAGAGTGGGCACCCCTGCAGGATTATTTTGAGTGCAACCAGTGTCAGATAGTAGTGCTGTGGTTGGAGCTGTCATAAGCCCTGAGTGTGTTAATCCTGATGCCTGCAATGCAGCTGTTGCGGCCTGCCTGCTGTCTAAAATATTATTAAAGGGTTATATTGCATTTTCTTCCAGTAGGCAACTGGAAGTTTTACATGCATAAGACACCTGTTAAAAAACAAATACCAGACAGTAAATCTCCTGTAATGTACTGTTGTAGAGTTTGTGGTTTGCAGCCATCCTGCTGATGCCATGGCTGGCTAAGCTAGGCAATTAGTGTAGCTTAGTTTAAAGGAGTGAGAGCAGCATGGCTCTTTCAGATGCTATTGTTTAGGAGGGATTTGTTGTTGAAATGCTGTAATTAGTGTGTAATTGTGTAAATTAATGAACTTTAGAGGTGCTAATAGATGTATATTTCAAACTTACTGTACAGATTCAGGCCAGCAGTTAAGCTTCTATAAGCCAATTTAAAATCAGTAAAGACAAAAGCAAAAGCACTTCCCTCAACTTGAAACTATTCCTTTAAAAATATACTCCATTAATACACCATTCCCTCTCAAAAAAGTTGGGCTAATAGCAAAGGATTCAAACAGAAACAAAATCAAAAGGACTCAAAAAGAAGCAACGATAACTTGACTTTTAGCCCTCATGGCTCAAGCTCAATAAACACTTCCCTCAATGCAACATATTTTGTTAAACCTTTCCTGCTGAGACTTTTTTAAACTTGTAAGTTTGTGCACAATTTCTGCTCTAAACCTGTAGTCTTTAATCCCAAGCCGATCAGGGTTATTTTCTCAAAGCTTGACAGAGCTCCTTCAGAGCCACAAAACACATTATGCAAATGTTTTTACTGGCTGAACAAGGCTCACCATGATAATGCAATCTTGACGTGCATAACTGATGAACTGCTGCTTTAAAACACACAGCATATAGATCTGTGATAGAACCCACTGTTTACCGCAGTCATTTGAATGCATTGTATCTGTAAATAGTTTATGAGACAAAAGTTGTCAGTATGAGAGACCTGCTTCCTCTACGCTGTCATTTCCTCTACCAGCCTCAGTCTCTGATTGACTGGTTAGAAATGTCAACCAGCAAAGTCTCCTGTTTGATGAGAGCTCTGGGAGAAGGTTCAGACCTAATTAAAGGGCTTCAGAAAGCTGACCCTCCTCCACAGTACACGCTCTCTCTGCACTACTCTCAGCTGCTGTTCAAGATTGTGATAAATGCTTGTGAAAAGACTTCTTACAGCTTCTCTGCTTTCACTTATATTTTGCTGGGCTTGTGGATGGAATGGTTTTATTCCTGCCAGGATCTCTTTGGTGTATTTCGTGCACAAAGTTGCACACTGACTGAGGATTTCCCCACGGTTAATTAGAGGCAGTGTGCGGTACTTTTCAGGGAGTTTTGCACTTGGATTACTGTGTAATAGACAGATGGACAGTCAGTGAATAATTTCAGCACATACACATACAGTCCACTGTGGAAGCAGTGAATGTGAAACTGTATAGACAAATCCCTACTAAGCAGCTTTGCACTAGAAATGAGTTCTCACAATGCTGTGTGTGGCAGAATGGCTGAGAAAACTACTGGCAAGTTGCTGGAGTTGCTTGATGCTTGACAGCATAAAGGCATTCTGCTAGTATACAGTGTTGAATTAGCCCAAAGCTGGATGAACAGGAACACGTGTAGTCGGAGCTGACACACATTATGTGCACATAGATTCAAACAGCATGAAGTCTTGCAAATGATGTGACTGTAGATGTCAGATGATGCTGTTTTCTCCATAGCCAATGAACCGAGTTCACTGGCACAGCATGCTGCAGCATACGGTTCTTTGTGCGTTAATCGCTGCAGTTAAGTTAACTGGAAATGGATGAAATTTGTTGGAACTTTTGTATGCAATCACTCAAATGTAACATTTTTTTATGCTGGTGTTAGCAAGGAATTTGTTGATGAACCCTGTCGACCATCCTCGTCCCGTGATACAGGCTAACATCAGACATTTGTGGATTATGCTTCATCACGATCCCTTCTGTCAAAGTTTAACTGTGCATGCCCCGTGCTCTCTTAATGCCCAAGCTTTAAAGTCTGGAAAGGGATTAGAGTTTAATGTCACGTTCAGTGTTTAATGTAAACAGAAAATCCTGTCAAGAGTCAGGAGTCAGTTCTCAGCAGGTATCATGTTCATTTGCATTTCAGCTCCCTATTGTGTTTGTGTAAGATTCACGATTCAAGAGTTTTTATTAATGCATAAAAAAGAGAAATAGAGAACAAAAAAAAAACTGAAGGCAAGCTGTGAAGCTCAAACAATGTATGATTTTTTTGTTTTTTTGTTTTTTGTCTGTTTTGTATGGGAACCCATGTGGGTCCTATGTCTGCTAGAAAAACCAAGGCAACCATGCCCAGTCATGAGACAGTCAGAGGTCACAGCAGCATCAGGCATAAGAATCTCAGAAAGCATTTGTTTCACTGTATTCATTATTCAGTCAGGCTGCTCAGTTATGGCAAAAGTCTTTTTCTTTCCAAACAGCTGAATTGGTTTTAACTTTCTTGTTATCCAAAGACTCTTTCCATCATCTTGGCTCAAGCTGAACAAAACTTGCCACAGCTTGGCTGGGACATAGTTCAGGCTTTTAGAGGGGGGGATATGCACCGTTATAATGGAGACGGGGTGCACTGGATTTACAACACAAAATGAGAAATGACAATTTGATCAATCGCTTTTATTATATAGTCACATCTTTGCTTTTAACTTAACACAAATGTAATCATTTATAACATGAAGAGTAGACAGAGTGAGAATTGAGAATTAAATAAGATTTTTGTAACTTTCCAGTTACAGTGGTCATTTTAACACATTGGCCCACCACTTTGGTTCACATTGAAATAAGTATAAGTATTCAGTGTTATATAGACTGGCATGGTACTGGGCTGCAAGGTGGCTCAGTGGTTAGTGCTCGTTGGTTTGCGTCCCAGTGAGGACACCTGGGATCTTTCTGCGTGGAGTTCACATGTTCTCCTTGTGCAGCGTGGGTTCTCTCCAGGTTCTCCAGCTTCCTTCCACAGTCCAAAAACATGCTGAGGTTAATTGGTGATTCTAAATTGTCTGAAGGTGTGAATGTGAGTGTGCTTGTTTGTCTCTTTGTGTAGCCCTGTGATAGACCTGTCCAGAGTGTCCCCTGCGTTAGCCCTGAGTCGGCTTGGATAGACTCCAGCCCTTCCTATCCTAATGAGGATTAAGCGGTGCATAGATGATCGATGGAACTTTAAAGAGACATTCATGATCCTCATAGGATGAATCTTTTGACTTTAGTGAACCTCTGATCTTTTTTCAACTTTTAAAATTGTAATTAGTTGGATTTCAGTGTTTTGGTTTTTGTCCTGCAAAATTAATGTCACTCCCTCAGCCCCAGTTCTATTTCGTGCTGTTTTGTGAACATTAGAATGCCAACACATGGTGGACTGACTCGTCACATGTAAACTGTAGGGATAAGTCTGCCATTTCCACATCGCATTTCATGCAACATACTTTTCCCTTTGCATAATCTGCATACTACCATTTTCAAAATCCCCTTTCCTTTGGGAAACAACAACAACAACAACCTCCAAGCAGCTACGTACACACTGGAAAAGACGGGTTTAACAAAGATTTAAATTGTGCAGTAAGGGTGGCCTGTTTAGTTCTTGCATTGGATCAACTATTCTAATGACAGTGCTTGCATTCCTGCATGCAAATGTTGTACCAAAACAGTTCCCCCATCACTATTTTGCAGGCTCACCTTTGCTGAATCCTGGGCTTAGCGCCACCCAGGACAATGGTAATTTGTTTTAAGAAACACAAACAAGTCAGAGACCTGTTTTCCCCCATAAGAGAATGCAGTTAATGTTGGCATGCTAATGTCTGCATTTACATGAGCTCAAAGCATCACCTGTAATAACAGCAACACAGAGAATTTCTTCAGCTTCAGCTGAACAGTTCTGACATTCAGATGTTCCCTCGACTATGTCAGTTCTCTGATTAAACATGCTTTATTGATGCAAAATGGATCAAAAATTAGGTCACTCACATTTAGTTAAAGTATTTCTTTATTCATGGAGCTACCTTTTAATGGAGAATGATAAAAGAGAGAAACCAAACTGTTCATCAGTGTCACATAAAAACAAATTCTAAAGAAGGGACACCAGGGAATTGTCACTGATCTGGGATTTGCACTATTATTGTCAAAAAAGTGTAATAAATAATATGTTATAACATAGCTTGTGAGGTAAGTGTTTTAAAGGATTGCAGTTTACTGACAGGCTGTTCATTTGTTGCGGTTACTTTATCAGTTTCTGTTTGCTTTCACTGCCATGACCTAATTTCTCTGGACCGACTAATGAGGAAATATACGCCTTTAATCCCATCATTGTTTCCACAATCCTTTAATTCAAACTGGTTTACCAGGTAATTATAGCATTTCTTTGCTGCCTGGCTAGCAGTGAGAGATAGCTTTTGCA